TGGGCTAATTAAACAACCTGCTGCAGCGTGTTGGGTCGTGCGGGTCTTTAACGACGGGTCTGCAAGCGGAGGAGTGAGTTTGGTCATTGCACAGGGCCATCTCGCCTCCCTGAGTCCATTAAAGCCAGCAACCTGGCCAGTATTTCCCAGTATAACTGCGGTGTGCAATAGTCTGGTGCGGCTCCTGGTAGAGCAGAGTGTTGGGTCTCTTGGGGACGGGAGTTGGGTTGAAATAGCGATGGGTGGAGCTCTGCCCCCTCCCAAAACTGCTCGAGTCCTCCTTTAACAGTCCCAAAATGGTGAAAAACAACTTCTCACCCGACTCGGGACATCCCTCAGGAGCTGGAGTCCAGCCACCCACCCCCTCCGGCTGGTCCTTGGGCTCTGTCCCCTGTTCCCCGCTTGTGCTGGGACTAAGATAGCACAAGTTGAGCAGAATTTGTAACAATGAAAGGAGGGTGGGGGAAAAAAAAAAAAAAAAGGCCTAGTAATTATTCATAGGGGGTTTTTTTACTCTTTTTAAATGATGAATTGCAAGTCAAGAAGCGTCTCTTTAGGGCTGAGAGCCTGAATCCAACCCAGGCTGCTCCGGAGCAAGGGTGGTGGGAGATATCATCTGCATCCTCGCAGGAGAGACAGATTTACTCATTTCCATATGCATAATAATGCAATTACAAAGTCAGCCTAAACCTGCGCTGCAGACAAAGAAACAGGCGGCTTTGTAATTAATGGCACATGTAAGAATAAAGCCTGTTCCATTAGGGTTCATTATTTGGCGGATTAATTAAAAAAGAAAAAGACAAAGAACGTATTCTGCAGTAGCAAATGTGTTATTAGGCTGCAAAGACGGTCTCTGGAAATAGCTGGTAGGTGCGTGGCAGCTCCCGTGTGCTGGCACACGTCGCTGCATTATTCACTGGCCTGGCTGCTGGTTTAACTGGGCTGTGAAATCGGTGGAGTCGGTGCCTGGTTTCATTTTCCGAGGGCACTGGATGATGGAGAGGGGTCTGGGAAGCAGCTTTGGAGCGGTGCTGGAGCAGCCGTGCCCCTGCTAGAAACCACCCCCCCGGCTGGAACTCTGGCTTTCGCTCCCACCTCGGGCTTTTTACGCTTTTCCCGTTCTTTGGGAACTCACAACCCCCCCAAATCAACAGGGCAGAAGCGATTAATACTTTAAAATCCAAAGTCTCAGTAAGCGGGAGCGGAGTTACAGTCTCCAACACCCCTTTCTTTTGCATTTTCACTTAATCCTCATTTGCATTTAAATTACAAATGTAATTTGGGCCGGAGTTTGAGCTGCTGGGCTATTAAAATAAAACTCTAGCATGAGGACCGGCAGCAGAGGGAACGCCTCGAACACCACCGGTGCGGTGCGAAGGCTTTTGTTCACCAGCGTTTGCAAAATAACCTCAGCTAAAGGGGCTCAGGGTCTCATGAGGGTGCGTTTTTCCCAGCACAGGAGTTTTTAAAACCTGAATTTAGGGGTAGTTCCTCTCCCATCACTCCCCAAAACACCACCCTGAGCGGGACCCTGCTCGTTTTCAGTGCCTGAGAGTCAAAGGAGAGCTGGAAGCTGCTTGTGATCTCTTATTTTATTTATTTTTTTTTTTAGAAAGCGCCGTTCCTATACAGAAATGCCATCGAAAGCCCAAAATGACGAGGGCTGGAGCTGGAAATATCGGCTGAAGCGCTTTGTGAGGTCCCAGTCGGTGCCGTGGACCCGGCAGATTCATCAGGAGCTTGAGCTCCATCACACACCGAGCAGCAGGGGGTGGCGATAGCGGGGGGGCTGATGGGGTGGCCCGGGGTCACTTTAGTGTCCTACAGCTATAGACAGAGAGATATACACATATAGAGAGATATGTAAGTATTTGGAGGGGGCCCTCCGAGCATCCCAGCTGCGGCACGGCTCTGCACGGGTGGGTAGAAGCTCCCGGTTTCCCTGGGTCAGGATTCAACCCCAGTTTCCCAGCCCAAACGAGGGGCTGGTGGAGCTGGGTTTTTTGGGTGGGTGCTGTTGCAAGGAGAAGCTGGATCAGCCCTCGGGTGCCTGCTGGGGTGCTGCTGCCACCAGGTCCGTGTCGTCGCAAGGGCTCCGGTGCGGCGTTTGCCATCAGCGTCCCCTTTTCCCCGAGAATATTCTAATTTTTTTTAATTTTCTTTTTATTTTTTTTTTTTTTTTAATCCAGCAAAACCTAAGCTAAGAAAAGCCACGATCCTGGCCGTGTCCTGGGCTCTGAGCTCTGCCCGAGCATGGCAGCATTTAAAAAATAATGACTGGAAGCCTTTTAACCCGCTTTAAGGCCACCGCAGGCACATTTCCCAGCAGGCTGGGAATTTGGCCGATGGGATAAAGGGGATGGGAAATGGGGTAGCCGAGCTTTGGGGCAGTGGCCGAGCTGCCCACGGAGTCCTAAGCCCCCGGCACTTGCAGCTCAGTTCCCCCCAACACGATGGCGTGTCCTCGAAGGGGCTGCGCTGGGGCAGAGCTGTCCCGTCCATGGATGAAGGGGTTCACCCCCCCTGTGTCCCCCAATTTCTTCGCTGGGCTCTCGGCAGCCACCGCTGCTGCGGTTGGAAATGCTCCTCCGTGCCTTTTCCAGCCTTGATCACGGGGTCGGTATTTCTAGGGGACACCGAGGCACTGGCTAAGGCAGGTTAAAGAGATCAATGGGTTTGGGTCATTGTATTTTTTTGGCCGTATCCCCCAAATTGAGATGTGAAGCCAGAATTCAGCTTCATATTGAAATCTGGAGTGAAACCCAAGATGTCTTGGTCTACAGCGCAGAACATCCCACCCCTGCAGGGACATCCAGCCCTGTTGGGACATCCCACCATTGCCAAGACCTTGCCATGAACCAGCTCCAAACCAAGAGCCTTTGTCACCACACGCTGCTGAGGGTTTTGCCCCCAGGGTGGGTAGAGGTGCAGAGCTGAAGGTGGTCTCCAACTCCTTCTGGACACCTTAGTCTCTCTTCTGCCAGAGCTGAAGCTCAGCCTCGTGGAATCCTGGAGGTTTGTCCCCAGATTCCTACCCTGGAGATGATCCTTCTCGCCCTCCCGCACCCAGTACTCCACGAGGAGACCAAGCATGGCTCTGCCAGTGGTCCAGGACTCCATCCGTGCCTGCAAAGGGATCCTGAGGAGCCCTGGGTGGGAGCTGGAGATGTCCAGGCTGATACAACGCCAAACGAGAGGCTGTTGCCCAGGGCAGGGGGGAACATGGTGCGGGCAGACGAGGGATCGCTCGCGCGCTTTGGCGGTGAATGATTTCAGATCCGAACGGGCAATTTCACCCTACTTCGTTCCTTTGAAAAAGAAATTGGTTTTGGCTGCCTCGTCGGCTCTGCCTCCCTAACGAGGAGGTTGCAATTTCCACAGGCTCCGGAGAAAGTTAGGGCTGGCAAGGAGAGGTAATGGCCTTTATTAGGCTAAATTGATGCAACTGGAAAGACCAGAGACACAACCCAGGCTCTCCATCCAGGCCGGGAGCTCCAGGTGCACCCAGGGGCTCGCCGGCTTCCTCCAGCTGCATCAATTTGTCCACTAAATGCTATTACTGCTCCCTCCGAGCTTCCTCCTCCTCCTCCTCGGGCTGTGCGACCTCCTTGGGCTGTTTGTCTGCAGCCACCGTGGTGGAAAGGTGAGGGGAAGGAAAAGTTGTGGCGCTTGATGCTGCTCACAGCCGGTGTGGGGCTGGTGGCAGGGAGCAGGAGGTTGGGAGGACCCATCGGTCATTGTTTGTTGGCAGATAATGTGGTCCAGAGGTCGCTGGCCAGTGGCTCCTGCAGGATTCACTGCCTTTGAGCTCAGCTGTCTCTTTGGAAGGATGGCTGCTCCATCCAGGTGAGTCCTGAGCATGGAATTCCAAAATCTCTGCCTCTTGCAGGCTGTGGGGTCTTTCTCCGTGCTCTCATGAGCTCTGTCCCTGCTTGGGGAATGAAGAAATGAAAAATAATCACGCTGTCCTTCTTGGCTTTGCTAAAGGAAATCTGGGCAGCGCTGTTGTTCATCCTTCACCCAAGGGGCCGGGGCAGGAGAGCCCTCACAGCGCCGCCCGTTCATCCATCCTCATGGCTTCAGTACCGTGAGAAATTCCTCAAGTCCTCCCAAGTTGCTCCCTGAAGAAGTTCTTTCTTGGGCTTAATGTCTTTGGAGGCAGATGGGCGAGGAGCAGTTCCCTGGCACCCTGAGGGATGCTGGGCCAGGGGGATTTGGATCTTCACGTGGATACAGGGTGAGCTGGGGACGTGCCCTGCTCCATCCCCTGGCCGTATCCGTATTCCCAGCATCGCATCCGTGTCTAGGGCTGCCCTGGCTGCACTCGGAGGTCTCTAAATAACACAGCAACAGGAGAAAGATGTCCTCCAGGGGCAGGCCTGGTTTGAAGGACTCCAGTGAAATTTTTACTGTGGATCTGGAGCTCTTTGAGAACAGCGTCTCTGAAGCGGCATCGTTTTCTCTGCCCATCTCCGGCCGTTTTTTGGACACAGCTCAGAGGGGGATGGAGTGAGGCCCCATGATGTGGCATCACCCCCCCCCCGGCACAGCCTGCTTCTGCCAAGGAAGCGTTTCCCCTCATGCCATGGGCCGTGGTGCCAGCTTGGCCCACGCAGGAGGAGAAGCACGTGGTCACGGCAACTGCGGTGGCCCAGGGGGCTTAGGCTTTGCCGATAGCCGTGTGTTGGCAGGCGACAGCCCCT